CTAAACACTTGTCTTTCAGGCATCCTGAAAAATTAAAAAATGGGTATATAAAGCCAGAAGTGTGTGAGAATGCCAAACTTACTGGGATCCCACCTGATGCCAGTACAATTTCACTTTTGTATTATTTTTTCATATAAACAGTTATGTACATCATTAGTTTCCTTCAAATGTTAAAATTTGCCCTTGCCGGTCCCAAGCCCGGATGAAAAAGGAGGAGGGGAAGCAGTAACAAGCTCGCTAAAAAACCTGGGTTCAGCTGGCCCGGCTGATAGTACCCTGTAAGGGCTCCTAACCAGGAATACAGGATGAGCAGCATTTGTACTCCCATGTTAGGAGCGGCTGCACATGGCGTCTGTTCCTCATGTCAGAGGCGGCCATTTCTTTTGGAGCTAAGTCGGCCTGCCACTGAGTAATGCTCCCAGTCTTAATGACAAAGGCAGACGCATTCTACTAACCCAGTCATGATGGTTGTCAAATAGACACCATCAAAGGTCACAACTTGATACCCTAATATGATTGAGTGGAGATAAGAAAGAAAAAGAAGAAGAAATGTTAAAATAGCTTGAAAAACAAGGTGGTGAGGAGTGCATTACAATTTTTTTTTTAATCAAAGTGGGCAGTGAACTGAAAAATTCTGGGAACCCCTATGACCTAAGTCATGTCTCTCCCAATTTATGAATGTTTGTAAACACCGCTATCTTGTGGATGTGTGGAATTTCTCTCATTAATACCTTACATATAAACACACAGGACAACTTCTATTGATTGACTCTATCAAGTCTAGCACCCAGATAATTGTAGATCTAGGCCAGCAACCAATTAACATAATTAACCCCAGAGTAATTATATAATAAGGTGGTAGACCCTGCACTGTGGTGATATGTGTGGCAGAAATTAGGTTTAATTATCTTTAATAAGCATGAATGTTACTTTTACAATAAAATAAACTTCCTACTGTCCTTACTGGGATGGAAAATATCCAGAGGATTTGGCTCACTAAGATATGCTCCAATGGCCCTGAATCTTGCAAAAGTCCAACCCCACCAGCGAGTGCAAGTAATCAAATGGGGCTCTGGCACATTTGTAAGTGGAAAGTCGAACTGCTTTTCACATGTGTAGACATGTGGTGCACTTACAGTAAAAGCAGTCGCCAACTTCTACCCACCATGATTATCATGACTCGTACCACATGTACTAGGGATAAGCAAAAAAAAGGCATAGTTTGAGTTCTAAAAGGGTCCTTGAAATATAGCGTCAAATATTATCATTTATTGAAAAAAGTTTTTTTTTTTTTGCTAAATAATTTACATTGTATGTAGGGGGGTCGGTGGAAGGCTGGTTAAACCGTTTGGTTTTCGACCACTATGACCCGGGTTCGATTCCCGCATTGGACACTTTTTTTCTGTTTAAAAAAAAAAATGCTCCAATGGCCCTCGATTCTTGCAAAAGTCCAACCCCACCAGCGAGTGCAAGTAACCAAACAGGGCTCTGGCACATTTTTAAGTGCAAAGCCGAACTGCTTTTCACATGTGGTGCGCTTACAGTAAAAAGCAGTCGCTAACTACCCACCATGATTACCATGGCCTGTACCACATGTACTAGGGATAAGCAAAAAAAAAAAAAGGAGGCAACTTGATGTGAAACATCTCTGTTGTAAATGGAAAACCCACATTTACAATACAACTTTTTTTTTCAATAAAAAAACTTGAACCAAAGTTTCATATAAAAGATATTGTACTACAGATATTGTTTTGTTTCCCACTTGGCAAATACGCAAGGAGGAAAAGCAGATTGATTGTTTACAAAACAATTTGTTCTCGTTATGCTTAATTGAATAGAATGTTTTATACTAATAGCTTAAAGAAACAAATGTACTTATCTTTGGTCAGGCAATCATCCCAAGCTTTACAAATGAATTTATTTTAATTCTCTTACAATGAATATTTTAAAGAATTTACAACAGAATTAAAGCCGCAGCTCTGAAAGGAATAGTTCTCTAGTGGCGAGCGTCCTTCGAAACTTCTGGAAGGTGGCGAGCTCCCTCTGGCGGTGCAGCCAGACGGCCTCCCATTTGTCAGCGATGACGCAGTTCCTTCACCGCCGCGCACTGCCTTCTGCTACCTATGTTAGAATAAAACTAAACAGATATATTGAGTTTACGTGGTGTCCTACAGGTTCTGGCCCTGGGTATGGTGGTGGTGGGGCGGCAGCGAGGTATTCAGTCCTCAGGGATCCTCTTCTTCTTCTGGCTGCTACAGGTCCTCTGCTCCTTGCCTATCTACGTGGACCTCCTCAAGTTGGCCATGATCCAGGTAACATGGTCCTGCCTGGCAATCCTAGCTTTCATTCTCAATATAACTTTGGCTGTGTACAAATACAGATTAGCTTCCTCTTTCCCTTGAAAAAACTTGAAATTTAGCTTGAAGTTGAAAGGAAAACTAGGGAATACAAGTAATAGTGGTATCCTACTATTGATATTTGAATAATTTGGCATTCCGTGAATCACTCCACCAACTGAAAACAACCTTGCATTATCACTCATCAAGAAAGAGATCTGACTTGTAATTGAGATTAGATGTAGATGAGACAGACTATTGAGTTTAACATTCTGAAACAAGAGAATACCTGAAGCAAGAGAATCTACCACCCAACTAGACGAAAGAGACCTCCTCCATACCATCAAATCCCAATGCCTGCAGGAATGGAAATCTGATGCTGCACATATGACTGGTACAGAGCAGGAGGGACAAGCACCGGTTCTGTCCTCCCAAGAGAACAACAGTCTTTGATTTCCAGACTTAAGTCTGGTCATCTACGGACAATGACTTTCCAGAATGGTTGCAAGGTTTTCCCACTATGTACTAAGTGCAATTCTCAGCCTGCAACCCCAAGACATATTATTGACTGTATTGACTCATCCATTGATGAGCTCTACTCTTCCTTGGCAGACACCATCAAAAATCTCAAGCTTTACAAGCTTGATACCTTAATGTGATTGAGTGGAGATAAGAAAGAAGAAGAAGACATTCTGAAACAAAGTCACATGGCTCCACAATGAGTGGATGTGTTGTTCCAGAAACAAGGGGAGGGCAAGGAGAGCCTGGTGAACTCCTTGAAGTTTAGCCTCTACATGGTGCAGTTCCCAGTGGTGGTGATGGAGTTCCTGCTGACGTGGCGGGCTGATGCCCGGCCCCAGCTCTCAGAGGACCAGCCCCTCAAACCTAAGGTATGGACATACATTGATTGATCTATGTGGTCTCAAGTAACCATTCTATAACTCTACGTAATAAGACCAAATAAATAAATAGTAAGTGAGGGTTAGTAACAGTGTTGTTACTGAAATGTCACACACCATTTATTTATTTGGATTTGTTCTTATTACCTTGAAGCAGTCGCCAACTTCTACCCAACATGATTATCATGGCCTGTACCACTTATACTAGGGATAATTTTTTAAAAACCTTGTTTTTCTAATCTATAATCCAAATTGTACCTTATCAACTTTCAATAACTCATTCTTATTGCTTTTCAATTGGCTCTGGTAATAAAAAACACTGTCAACTTAATGGACTCTGACTTGAATCACAGTGGAGAACCTTGTTTTAAGAACCTCCTTTATAAGAACAACTTTGTTATAACATCATAATTCTAAAGTCCTAAGTGTTTAACCACAGCTATAACAACATGTGTGATAACTTCAGTCTCAAGTGTGATATTGTTATAACATTGTTATCATGTTTTCTACAATTATTATCCCTAAAAAAAGAGAGAGTACATATGATAAGGCACAATTTGGATTATAGATTATAAACACAAGGTAATAAGACCAAATCCAAATAAATAAATAGTGTGTTTGTCTGAAGATGGTAACAACCCTGTTTCTGAAACATCGCACACTATTTATTTATTTGGATTTGGTGTTATTACCTAGAGAGTACACATGGTTCAGGACATGATAATCATACTGGGTAGTTGGTGGCTGCTTTTACTACAAGTGCATCTCATGTTTACACATGTAGAAAGTAATTTGACTTTTGTAATTACAAGTTTGTCAGAAAGTCCCATTTAATTACTTGCACTCACTTATGGGATTGGACTTTTTCAAGAATCAGAGTCAATTGAATCACAACACACACAACAATTATTTCCTCCAGAAAAAGTGCCCAATGCACGATTCAATTACAGACCATGGCTGTCATACAGTTTATACCGCTCCAACACTAATCCTTCTTTTTTGGGATGGTTATTTCGAAAAGAAAAATTAGTGTAACAAAAATGTATGAAAAATTTTGGTAGAGACAGTTTTTTATTTTTTATTTAATCCATAATAAGGTACAACTTGGATTATATATTAAAAACACAAGGTAATAAGACTAAATCTCCAAATAAATAGTGTGTGTGACAGCAACGTTATTACCGAAATGTCATACACTACTTATTTATTTGGATTTGGTCTTATTACCTTATGTTTTTAATGTAACCCATAAAGTGTAGATGTCATCAAATAATTACCTCTGATGAACTAGAGCTACAAAATTCTCTACTGAGCAATAATCCTGTGGTCACTCAAGTGATGGTGATGGTTCCAGAAAGGCAAGGAGCACCCAGAAGAGTTTTCCTCCTATGTTTCCAAGCTCACCTACTGGTGGTTCAATAAGTAAGTATAGTGTAGTGTAGTATAGTGTGAGGGATGGACTGACTGATGGTGGATCCAGGCTGGTGATCAAGGGCTACAAACGGCCCCTCACCCAGAAGGACCTGTGGACCCTGCAGTCCCGGGAATCCTCCGATGTGGTGGTCCCCAAGTTTGAAGCCTTCTGGAAGAAGGAGCAAGCTAAGGCCGCAAGGTACGTTCAATCTTCAGCGGCTTGTGTGGCACAGAGAATGCCTGTTTTAGCTAGAGAAGCCAATTTTACACATTTAGGGTATTTTTTGCATTAGAATATGGTGTAGGTTTAAAATTGTTAGTTTGCAGAAAGCTATGGGGGGGCGAAAATGGAGCTATTTATTAGATTAGAAGGCTGGTTAAACCGTTTGGTTTTCGACCACTAGGACCCGGGTTCGATTCCCGCATTGGACACTTTTTTCTGTTTAAAAAAAAAAAAATGCTCCAATGCCCCCCGATTCTTGCAAAAGTCCAACCCCCACCAGTGAGTGCAAGTAACCAAACGGGGCTCTGGCATTTGTAAGTGCAAAGTTGAACTGCTTTTCACATGTGTAGACATGTGGTGCGCTTACAGTAAAAAGCAGTCGCTAACTACCCACCATGATTATCATGGCCTGTACCACGTGTACTAGGGATAAGCAAAAAAAAAAAAAAACTTTGATCCAGTCAAATTATTTAACTTTAGGGGAAGCAATATTTGAAAGTTAATACTGGTTCTTTTTTTAATATCAAAAATAAATTAATTGTAGCCCTTTATAAGGAATAATAAATATATCGATCACAAAGGAAATTTCTGAAATATATAAAAAATATTATTACCTCTCTTGTGTTTCTAATATATAATCCAAATGTACCTTATCAAATTCCATTAAAGAAACTCATTTTGCCGAGAACATAATTCCTTATTTTAATAATTAACTGAATGTGCATTTTTTTAGAAGGGGTAATTCTTATAAAATGTGGTTTTACCCACATTTAAAATCAATTGTTAAAATGGGCTGTTGTTGCTCACATTTTCCTATCAATTGATAGAATTGTTGCACACATTTGGGAAATATAATTGTATTTGTTCCTTTAAATCCACATTCTTTTTTGTCTTGTATTTTGACCATAGTTATCTTGTAGGTGAAGATTGCTTGAAGTTCTAAATTTTCCATCATTTCTCCTACTATTCAGAGGACATATACATGTGTTGTTGGTGACAACTGGCTGTTGCAGGCAGCAGTCCAACCTGATGGTGAACCACAATGTCCAGACAGACTCCGCCCTGATTGACCACAGTGCCAACACCCCTCCTCCATCCACCAAACAGCCCAGCATCCTCAAGGGATTTTTTGTTGTCTTTGGACCAACTTTCCTAACTGGTGCCTTGTTCAAGTTGTTCTACGACTTGCTGCAGTTTGTCAGTCCCCAGATCCTCAAGTAATAGCTTCTTGTTTGGATTATTTTGTTTCTGGTGGAACAGCCTCCGTTGTTGTCCAGGTTAATCATTGGGGTGGTTGAGCGCGCGGAGTTCCAGTGGAAGGGCGTCTTCTTTGCCTGCCTGATGCTGACCTCTGCCACCATCCAGTCCATCTCCCTCTCCTTCTACTTCTACCAGATGTACCGGGTGGCCACCCGCTTCCGGACCTGCCTCATCTCTGCCATCTACAAGAAGGTCAGCAGCCCGGCCTGACTCTCTCACCTGCCTGACCCCACTCTGCTGACCCCAGGCCCTCAGCATCTCCAACAGTGCCCGCAAGAAGACCACCATCGGGGAGATCGTCAATCTGATGTCTGTGGACGTCCAGAAGATTGCCGACCTGATGCCCTTTGTCAACCTGGTGTGGTCTGCCCCCCTCCAGATCTTCCTCGCAGTCTACTTCCTCTACCAGGTGTTGGGGGTGGCCATCTTTGTGGGACTGGCTGTGATGATACTGCTCATGCCCATCAATGCCTTCATCGCCATGCATGTCAAGAAGCTCCAGGTAAACTTGGCATCTTTGGATAGGGAAAAAACTTTTTTCTTTTTATATATACAATCAAACCGGGTTATAACAACCTTCTTTATGATGACAACTTGGTTTTAACATCAAAATTCTACATTCCCCATTGTTTGAACTCTGGTTATATAAACAGCAGTCCCCCAAGTGGTGTTGTTATAATAAGGTTACCTGATATCTCAGCAGTGTTTGATGTTTAACTGTCTGATTGGCTGTTTATTGGATTCAAATCTTTGGAACACTTTCCACCACTAAACCTAGCAGTGCCATGTCTCTTAATCTAAAAGCCAAGAATAGAGAGGATTTGTTGTTGTTTCTTATCCCCTTGTGTAAAGATTACACGAATTCCATGAGTTCATGCTCCTCGAGCTGTTTTATGATGAGCAGCGGCCTCTCCCAAAGGTCCTGTTTAGTGCATCTAATGCAAGCCAAAATGTGTTCTGGAGCTGCAGGTGACAAGCTACATTTTGGGCAAGTGGGGTAGATTTTGTTATTATTTTCTATCTATAGAGAGGATTTAAAAAATGTATAGTCTAGTGTTTAAAACTCTGGTGTTTAAAACATTTCAATAATGTTACAATTTACTCATCTAGCATGTGATATCTGGGTCCCCCCTTTCATTACTTGGTTTCTATGTCTCTAGATAAGTGTTGTAGACACCCCTTTTCTATTTTTAAAATTGTTTTGTTCCTTGCATCTATTGTTTCAATGTAGGAACACATTTTTTTTTTTTTTCTGATCTCTATTGGAATATTTCTTTATTTTTCTCTTTTTAAAATGGGTTGGAATTCATTTTCTTCTAGTTCTCTTTAACTCTTCTAATTTCCTCTTGGTTATAACCTCATTAAGACCCAAATTGTCATCTTTTCAAAAAAAAAGTTGAATTAAAGATGATAATTTGAAAGGGAGAGTTGGTCAGGAGAAATCTCTAAAAATAAAAAAGGTTTAAAATTTAGCAGGTGTTGAATTATAGACTATTGAATTAGAGAGGTGTTTGTAGAGAGAGTTCATAGCAGAGGCATTCTTCTTTATATAAAGACTTTTATCACAGAGAGATTGTCTTAGTTTTCATACAATGTTTGTATAATGGTTAACTGCTCAATGTCATCAGTGGGTGTGTGTCTCTAAAAAAACTTTCCATATTTTATATAATATAGTTTTAACCCAGAACCTGTTTCACTGTTGCAGATTGTCTCGGGCTACTTTATCGCCATAACATTGTGTTTTTTATAGGTCTTGTGTTAATTAGTTGTTATTCTCAATTAGAACATGGCTCCTCTAAGTATACACCAGGGAGGATATTTCACCAAGGTACTGGCTGGATGGCAGATGGGCCAGATGAAGATGAAGGATGAGCGGGTGAAGCTCATGAACGAGATCCTGAGTGGCATCAAGGTCCTCAAGTTTTTTGCCTGGGAGCTCTCCTTCCAGGACAGGGTCAGCAAGCTGAGGCTGAAGGAGATCCAGAAGCTAAAGAAAATGGCCCTCCTGCAAGCTGTCACAGTTTTCTTCTGGACCTGCGCCCCCTTCATGGTGAGTCACTTGGTGGTGATGGGCAATCACTGAGACTCTAATTCTAGTGGAGATGTACCAGCCTCTCTCTAAAGGTAAACATCTAGTTGGACAGAGCCAAAGTTTCCTTTAGAGATAAGGAAGCACAATTTGGATTATAGATTAGAAACATAGGTAATAAGACCAAATCCAAATAAATAATAGTGTGTGACATTTTGCTAACAACGCTGTTACCGAAACGCCACACACTATTGCAAAATGGTAATTTTGCAAATGAAAACTGTCCTTTGTAGAGATGTGTCCGCTAAAGGAAGGTTCTACTGTGTATATTTTTCAATGTTTCTGTCAAAACACTAAGAGTTTCCTGGTATGATTGTCAGGTTGCTTTGGTGACATTTGCCACCTATGTCCTCACGGGGGATGACCACGTCCTGGATGCCAAGAAGGCCTTTGTGTCCCTCGCTCTCTTCAACATTCTCCGCTTTCCCCTCACCATGTTGCCCATGATGGTGACCATGTTTATCCAGGTAAGTTCACCCAGTGTTTGCTGGCTCCCACCTACAGATGCTGACTACTGCTGCTGTGGTTCCAGGCCATGGTGGCCATGAAGAGAATCAACAACTACCTCAACAGTGAGGAGCTGGATGACTATATCCTCAAGGACAAGTTCCAGAACTGTTAGTTTTCCTTCTTCTCCAGACACTCTTCATAGCCGCACCTCTTATTCATTTTATGCCTAAACTTGAGGCCATGAGTATAGTATGCCTTGTGATCATAAAGTATTATGTTTTTGTTGTTTTGCTTATCCCTAGTACATGTAGTATGGGCCATGATAATCATGGTGGGTAAAAGTTGCCGACTGCTTTTACTGTAAGTGCAACACGTCTTCACATATGAAAAGCAGTTCGACTTTGCGCTTACAAATGTGCCAGAGCTCCGTTTTGTTACTTGCACCCGCTGGTGGGGTTGGGTTTTTGCAAAAATTGGGGGCCATTGAGGCTTTTTTTTTTATCAGAAAAAAGTGCCCAATGCAGGAATCAAACCCTGGTCTTAGCAGTCGAAAACCAATGGTTTAGACCATCTTTGCACTGACCCCCCATTAAGTATATTGTTGTATAGGGTGGGTGGCCCAGAAAAGGTTATACATTTTACACTCACGGACAAAACTTAAGGAAATGGAATATCTTTTATTTTGTCACCGGTCATCTATATATATTTTTTTTTCTAAGAAGACAGAGGCAATTTTGTTCACTCTTGGTTATCTCATGTGTCTTCAATAAAGGTCTCTGTATATCAAATATCTTTCCGAGTTATTCTATGAATCCCGATATACATGCTAAAAGGTATAACTTCCTTAAGTTTTTCCGGAAGTGTACATTTTCTATTTTACACATATTTCAACAATGATATTGTTCTCTAGCTGTAAGATGGTTTTAGGGTTTTATAGACCTCATCTGTTAAATAATCCCTCACCAATCAACCATCGATCTTGAAGATGGTTTTCTCTGTCTCAGCAGAATGTGGAGGGCTATTTTTCAAAAGCAAAATTATATGGTTTTATGTATGTTTTTTCAGTATTAAGATACACTATCTTAATATCTCCCAAACTTGATTTATTTAATTCTGGAACAAACAATTTTTAATGATTTATCATAAGATAGTTTTGAGTACTTAAAATGCATAATTTTTTTGGACCTATCTCCAATGAAATACCATAACCTGAAAACATGGCCAAACCCAGTTACTCCTGGATGTGATCTCTTATCAGAGATTCAGTCATGGCAGGCCAAGTCTTGAGGAGTCTTTCAGCCAGAACAGAGTCTCTGATGAGAGACAACCTCCAGGAAAGACTGGGATTGACCATGTGTTAGGTTGGGGGACTCTTCTGTATATATTTCCAGTGTCAATTATGTGTATCTC